CTGCCTGGAGGTTTTCAGCCTATGAAGAGATGCCACAGTGGATCTGGGACTCCATGGAGAGACTAAATGTCGTTTCTGGCTTGGGAACCTCTGGGTGTCCCTTAGAATTAGTTCCTGGATCTGTTACCTCTTTAATCCAACCTCAGATGTTGAGAAGACAATAAAAAGTTGGCAGTACTTCTCCATCGACTACAATCAGGGGTCAAATGTTTATCTCAAAAGTAGGGTCAAGGGGCATTACTTTGGAAAGTTCTAAAACTAGAATCTTGTAAATGGACAGAATTCAGAGTTTCACCTATAAAAAGTTATAAAAATTCATGACAAGTATCAGAACCAAATGATATGCTGCCAACTTTGCCTTTAGGTCCAAAGTTTAAGCAAAAAAATATATTTGCACATAATTGTATGCATCAGCTCATGGCATGCTTGCACGATAAGTGTAAAGGTCTTCTGTTGCCGAGTGCCAAGTCTCCCGGAGGACCATTGATCCACGTCTATGACCAAAGAGCGTTCTGCGGCTCCTCCCTGATTGCCATTCTGCTGCTAATTAAACAGTCCGGCTTAACGAGTCCACGCTGATAACAAGGTCGGAAGAAAAGGTCACGGCACTACGCTCGCCTCAACCAGACGGTGTCAATAAGAGCGCCGTCCGAGAGGACAGGCGCTCAGAGAGAAAGGTAATCATCTGAAAGGTACGGAACAGAGAGAAAGAGGCAGATGAAGTGGAAAGAAGAAGACGCTTGTTTGAAAGAAGCGGAGCATCAATACTATTAAATCTGAGCAAATTTTAGGTTTCGTCTACCACATCAACCAATAAAGAGACCCTGAAACTCGCCGCTGACTCTGAATTTAATCAGCATCTTCGAGACATTTAAGAAGCAGACATGAAAAGAAGTGTATTGATTCGAGGAGGGCGTATAACAAGAGGGAAGTGGTCGTCTTGCTGGATTTTTTTCCAACCAGGCTGCAGAGGAGCCCTGAGCACGACACGCAAACACATGACCTATATATATATATCTCCTATCTGGCCCTCATCATTTATCTTACAGCGGCAGAATCAGGATAGATTGGTTCAATTAGACTGGCCTTTAATGTAATCTGTTTAATCCATTTCTATCATCAAAGCCAATACCTACCTCTCTCCTCGGAGAGTGGGATTAGCACCGGGAGAGCACATCCAAGCAAGAAAAAGAAGGGAAATAAATACAGCCTTCGAGTTGATCAGATCCCCTTTAATAGTCGGGATATTTGTTCTTTACAACTGGGCTGTGAGGAAAAGTAGAAAGTGTGGAGTGAAGTTTTTATGGGCGAGATTTAAGATCTTCATATCCTGCCAGAGATTGGAAACACGGTTTGTCACGATGCCCCGCGCCACCATAAAAATTAAAGACTTGGCTCTTTTTTTAGTGTCTTCACAAACCTCTAATAAGTTGATTCTATTAGGAGACAAGAAGACCGTATCTTTTTGGATGAAAGTACCTTAAACATTAATTCTGTTTCAAGTGAATAAGTTGGCAAAATACTGACATTACACAGTTCGTTTCTAGAGCTTCCGTTGCATTCTCAGGCTATTTGACTCACTTTTGCAATGATTAGACATTTTCTATTGAATGAGGAGGTGATTTTAGTACATATCTTTCCATTTTATTGTAATTTTTTTTTTAGTTCTGCCTGTTGTTAAAAGGTGATCTGTTGAATTGCAAATGAATCTCAATATTAATCATTGTTCTTTTCTGGTATAGGAGAAGTTCAAAATGTGATGCTCAGAGTCCAACAGAATTTGAGAAAATGAATTTTCTTGAAACATGCCTGAATTTAGACAACAGTTAGTTCCAGAAAAACACTTTTTAAAACCATTTTTAATAAGATGGTTCCTTACTTTGGTCCCAAATCCACCTGTGGTGCTATCTTTCTTTGGGAATTTGCACCAAAATATTTCTTAGAGCAATGCCTCTTGGGAATAATCTGTTGATTTGCTTTTAAATGGTGACAATTTTTTAGGAAAATTAATTTCAAAGTTGAATATGTCAGTCATGCCAATGAAAAACCTGCTAACTTTTAGGTTTTTCATTGGCCTGATATAACAGATATAAACGGGCTGTTTATATCTTGCCAAGCAGCCCATTCTGTTACTGGATTAGATGACTGAAGATTGATCAAACAAAACAATTGGAAGTTGAACAATTTATGTCCTGAACAAGCAGTGAGGCTTGGATAAATGTTACTCTACCATAACAGGCTGGTCATTTGGTCATACATTGCTGTGGGATGCCAAAGTGGAGGTCTGGCGTTGATGTGGTTCTGTGGTGGAATAGGCATCTTGCAATTGGAGGGTTATAGGTTTGATACCAGCTGCAAACCAAACTTGTCATTTTATCACTTTTACAAGATAAAAAGATTAATATTCATATTCTTCATAAGTAAGAACGATACGATCAAATTTTGCATTATGGCAAATGTATACACATCATTGGTAACCATGGAGAAAAAGTCACACCATCATGTAGCCTACCATATATGGAAAATACTGGTAAGAATCCAGACTTTTATACACTTTTAAGTCTCGTCCGGTGAAAGGGGAAACTCAGCTTATGACTTGGTGAAATAAATCATGTGGTGTGAATTCAGGCTGACTTGATGAAATCAACAAAAAGGAGGGAGAAGGTATGGATCAGTTTCCAACTTTTGTAAATATTGCTGTCAGAAATAACAAAAAGAGCTAAAACTGAAGGGCAATTCCATTATTTTTTCTATCTGGGTAACCTTAGGTCAGTAAAAATTCACCATATTGAATTAATTACAGACCCGTTAAATCCCAGCATATAATCCTTCACAAAATTCTAAGAAAAAACTTGAATTTTAGTGATAAACTCAACCAAATTCAGGAACTTTGAGTCAAATTTTAAATCAAAAGCAAAAGCATCTAGAGAACATAGAACAAGTAAATATTTCTGAATAACTTATACGTCCAAATTTAATACGACAGGCGAGTTGGCTGAAAACTGAAGATATAATGTCCCAAAGCAAAGATAAATGTCATCACCTGGACATAAATCTAAATAAAAAGCCCTGTAATTTTCCAAAAACACATTTTTTTTAATGTCCTTTAGACTGTATTAAGATATAAATTCTATAAACTCAACTTTTGTTCTTCACACAATTTTACTTGTAGCAGACTTTTCAAGAACTGTATGCACATTCTGCTTATTAGGTAAGAAAATTAAATAACATCTTACTGGGATGGGTGTCAGGTTCATTGATTATTTAAGAGTGTTACAACCTTCTCTTTTGGCAAACTGGCAAATCAAGCAAATTAGGTTTTTGAATAGCTTACTTTATATCTTTGAATAGCTTACTTTATATCTTACCAGTTTATGTTAATATGTGCTTATTCAGATCAATAAACTGCTGCCAGGAGCTCAAGAGCTACAACATCCTTGCTTGTCATCCGTTTTCATTTCAAGGTTTTTTTTTTTTTTTTTACGCTCCTTCACAGAACAAGATTGTGTTTGAGGACTCAGGGGTCTGCCATCCGAAAACCCGTGACATTTTTTTCCCCACCAAATTACATGGCTTTCAATGAGGCAGCAAGACTGTTTTGTAAATTCATGGATTTCATCCAACAGCTGCAATCTGCTTCTACCTGCTGAGATTTCTGCAGGGAAGTGGGATTTTTTACACTGAATACCCGTCTACCCCCACTGCCCCCTCCTCCCCCAACCCCCCAGGCCTCCATGTCTCTGTGCTGGCTCTCTCAGAGGAAGGAATGAAATCAGCGCACAGGTAGACGATGCACTCATGCATTTATTTTTGTTGGAGAATTTTTTTTCTTCTTCTTCTCATGCATAATGCTTATGCATGCAGCAGCACGCTCGTTTATCTCTTCCTCCACGATCCACAACTTTCAACTGTTTTCCCTTCCACCTGTCTTTATGAAGCCTGCTTTTTAAATCCAGTATTTGTAATAATTCTCTCTCTCATATAGTGTGGATTACCTGTGTGATTGCTTTCCAGGAGAATTCCCCCGCGGAGCGTTAGCAACACCGCTCGTCACCCTCCCTACCCCCCCTCACACCTCCACCCCATCTTGTCGTTTTTATGTGCCTGCAGATATTAAAGCTATATATGGTGCTGCTACGCTGGAGTCCATTAACTTTTGTCTTACGGCTCCCGTGTGTTTGCAGAATTGTTTTGCAGAGAGGCTGTAATGAGACTCGGCTGGTGAGGCCTCGGTGATGCATTGGTCATGTCTGCTTAAACACGTGTTGACAGGCTTGTCCTCCACAAGCAGGATTCACCTCCACCAGCACACACACACCCAGCTGTTAACGGTGACTTGACTGCAGCTGACAGGTTTGATCAAAGCTGATTGATTAGGAGACAGGAGGAGTAGGGGGGGTGAAGGGTTGTGGAGAGGACGTCCTACACCTTCCCCTCACTCCCACTTTCTCCACCTCAAATCATATTTGTCGGTTAATATTGATCAAATGGATCTGAGTGATCAATGCTTCAATTTGTTAAATGGGCAAAATTAATGATTTTAAACTAAAAAAACAGTGTAATTCAAAAATATGTTTTGCCAAATAGAACAAAAACATAAAATTTTTAACCTTTCTTAAATTCTATTTTATCTTCGAACCTATATGACAAGAATTAGACAAGTCTCTGTTCATTCAGGTTTGTGGAAATATACTGAGATGTGCATTTGCTGCCATCTGCTGAATTGTATATGCAAGTACATGCCATTGTAACTTCCGCATCAATTCCAGTATCCTTAGAAATGAAACATTGATAAACATTCTGATGTGTAATAATGCCACCAGACAAATGATGTAAAGCACTTTGAAGTGCCTTGTTGCTGATATGTGTTATACAAATAAACTTGATTGATTGATTGATTGATTGATTGATTGATTGATTGATTGATTGATTGATTGATTGATTGATTGATTGAAAAGTCTAGGAATCTAACAGCACGTGAAGCCTCACCAGGCTGGTATGTTTTTGATGAATTTCATAGCTGGACGTTGCAGGACGAATGAAGCCTGCTCAATGACTGGGAACACCTATCTCATGAACTGCCACCAGGGGGTGCTGTGAGTATAAACGGAGACTCTTTCACTTGTGACATGGTCACATTTCAGTGTGAGTTATTTAGCAGTGACCACAAATCAGCTAAGTGTTGCTTCTCCTGCATTAGATCTACATATGGCTGTTTGCTCATTTGTGATGTAGAAACAAATGAGCTGAATCTCCTGCTTTGGCTGGGCTGTGGTAGTAACTTCACCTCCCAATGTGACCATAGCAGCATAGAAAAGGTGTGTACTGTGCTCATTGCATCCAAATGGTTCAAGTACAGAAATCTTGACTATTTGTTTGCTCAGTAGAAATCACTGGTCAGCTGCTCCTCCTGTTGCTGCTGGGCCAGAAGGACGTCTCTGGTTTGGGTGGAGTACTTCAGAAGGATGATGCTGAAGTTGGTTTCAGAAGGTCTGGAAGATGAAAGCTGCTCCTTCCTCTGCACTCCACCACTTGGCTAAACCACCATATTGATTTCCATTTCTTTTCAGATAGTGAAGTTGTTGCAGCTCAATGGAGACCCTGCTGCTCTGTTTCTCTAGCTCTGTGCGATTATTTTTAGTTTTGCTCGTTCTGTTTTAGTTTCCTTTCTTTTGATTGTTTTCTTGGGTATTAGTCAGTGTGGCCTCATTTTGTCTTAAATCTCTCTTAATAATGTAAATTTTAAAATTGTGGAGCCACATCTCGTTCTCATTAGTGTACAAACCTAAGCGCCTTTAAGGGGCAGAGCACCAAATAAGTAATGCCATTCCCTTGTGTTGTGAGTACATATTATGTATAGATTGGTTTTGGATGTGAGCATGAATACAGAATAAACTAATTTAACTTTTTTTTTTGATTTACAGTAACATTTTAAGAATGCAATTTGTGATGGACAAAACAAAAACAAAGGTAGATGATGTATTTGAAGAAAGATTTAAAGATACATGATCCTCTGTGATGCACCAGAACTTTTCTGGTCCTTCATAGCCTCAACATGAGCTGGAGAGGTTTGCTTGGAAAAAGGAATTGTGGGTCCCTTCATGAACTTACCTTACGTCTGTGATGAGATCTGATAGGTGAAATTCATTTGATTGATTGATAAACTATAATGAAGGATGAAACAAGAAGAACTCTGGACATGGATTTAAGCAGCTAGGGCAGCAGTGAGACTCAAACTGTCACTTTATCCTAGTTGGTTGATTTTGATTTATTTCTCAGTCCAGAGGGATATGGGCCTCTTCATTTTGTTAGAAAACACTTTCACTTAAAGTGCTTTGACCTTTAAAGTGCTAGCGTACTGTAGGTACAACAATCAGTCTGTTAATCTGTAACTCGCTGGTTGAACAGTCACACCGCTTTTACTGCTGAGTCATTGTTCTCTGGCTGACGTTGTGGAGAGGTTCCAACTTTCTCCTGAAGCTCTGGTTTGTTTTATGATAACTCCTTTTCTCTTGAGTTCAGGAACTTGACATTCGATTTGTTCTTCTGTCTGGAGAAGCGGGTTTTCTCTTCTTTTTTTCTGTCTGCTTTGGTTTTTATTGCTCCTTTAAAAGATGGCTGTGCGGCTCTTTGAAGGGAAAGACCATGCAGCCTCTTACCTGCAGTACAGAGTGACACCCCATGAAATTATCAGCAAGATAATGAGCTACATGGAGCAGAAGGTAAGCCTATGTTACATTTCATGCCACCGCCATAGAGCGTGTAAGAATGGAACCATAAACTCTTTAGTTCACCTTCATGCTCCAATGCTTGTATTTTCTTTGAGACTATTACCCCTAAAACAGAAATAATGAATTGGTGCTTGTCTTCTGTTACTTTTGTCTGTGCCCCATTGTGCCTCATGCTGAGGAACATGAACCACTGGTGAATCATGAGCTCCCTCTAGTGGTGCATAGGAATAGTGTACTACCCAAATCACAGGGCATTCTAGGGAAAACTTTATGCTTCTTTGCAAGGTTATTGTTTTGTCAATGAAATGTTTCCAATCATCAGATACGTTTTATTATCAGTAAAAAGTAACTAGAGTAAATACAAGAAGCACTTTTTAAATGAGTTTTCTCTTAAGTTACAGTAATCGCCCACTATTCACTGCCAGTCAGTATTTTACTATAGAGGAATTTTGGCCCACTTTTCCTTGCAGAATTGTTTTAATTTTATATTGGATGGTTGTCAAGAGTGAGCGACCAGTTTTTGTAAATCCAACATCATCTCAAGTCCAGACTTTGACTAGGCCACCACAGCGTTCATATTATTAAGTGATTTCAGAGGTGAACTTATACTCGTAAGTGTTCTTTGGATCATTTTCCTCCAGTAAAACCACATACTGACTTTCCAAAGCACTTCAACTTTTGTCTCACCAATTAGAAGAATATTTTCACAAGGGATCATGACGATGTTTATTGGAGGACGGATATGTGTGTCTTTGTGATCTTGTTAAACTGCCTCATATTGTCAAACATGTTCCTTCCAGGTGTTTTCTTGAATCTTAACTGGGTGTGACCAGAAAAATACATCAGAAAATATGGATAATCATATTGTTTTTTTAATGTTGGATCTGGTTGAGTGGTATAGCTAAGATCATCACTTCAAAAATAATTAGACAGATATTTTATTTGAGGTTTTGCAGTAAAGAATGAGGATCTTTATCTTTATTCCGTTCAGACACCTCGGCAGTACAAACTGGCCGTGGATGTGGGCTGTGGTCCGGGGAAAGGGACAGTCCTTCTGGCTCCTTACTTCACCAGGGTAGTTGGAACGGACATCAGCCAGGCTATGGTAGAAAGAGCGCTGGCCAAAAACAACCCACCAAACATTTCATACAGGTGAGCAAGAAAAAACCATTCTTATTTATTTAGATGAATTCAAAACATGAACAATTTCAGAACCCAGGAGGAATCATCCAACTTTTGGAGTAGAAAAATATCCCTTTTGCTTTCTCATATGTAAACAAACAAACTTAAATGTTGGAGTATAAACAAGATAACTTGGTCATAAATAATCCTCCAAATGAATCAATGACCACTTAAATAGAGCTGTGTACTGTTAAGAACTAAAACAAGCTGGTTTTCTGTAGCTGGATGTAATATTTAGCTAAAGTTTAGCATTAGTATGGTCAACACAGATCAGTATCAATTCTGTTTTGACTGATATAAAACAGAACTCCAACATTTAACTTTATCATGTGACAAACTGAATATTCAGCTTCCTTCTGCAATGTTGGCACATAGTTTGATTCCTCAGCTTCTGCTAAATGACTAGAACAATGCTCTTTAGCGTTCTTTACAGATTTCTGGAAACTTCGTTCCTCTACTTGTATTATCTGACCACAGACATTGCCCTGCAGAGGAGACACCCTTTGCATCAGGGGAGGTGGACCTTGTGACGGCCATGACGGCGGCCCACTGGTTCGACCGGCCACGGTTCCTCCAGGAGGCTGACAGGATCCTCAGACCTGGAGGCTGCCTTGCTCTCCTGAGCTACACCATGGACATGATCCTGGAATACAGAGACATCTCAAACGTCCTGAATGACATCTGCCGAGAGGTCCAGTCCAGATCTTAGAAGTTAGCCATTGTTGCATTTATGAAAGAGGACTAAAGCCCCTTCTCCATTGTCAAGTCTCACTCTAGCCGGGTAACACCTGGTTTGATTCTTGCCAAGTTGAGAGGATCTCCTTTGGCATTGTGTCCCTCGTTATTTTGGGAATGTTGGAACAGGCCGTAACCCCACAGCAGCTGAGGTTGACACTCAGCAATGGAGAACCTCAAAGGTTGTTGTTTGGTAGACACAATTTAAACACAGGTATTTTATTTGGTCTTAAATTCAAACAGCCAAAATTGTGAAGTAGCTAAGATTAAAGTCTACAGTGATGTTACATCTCATCCTCCATCCAGACGCTGTCATGGCTGACTCAAGTAAATCTAGATACTCCATTTTGTCTGACAGAAATTAATTACTGGCCCAAATGTAGGCAAAACTTGTTAAAGACATGCCGGTGGAGAAGGGGCTTTAGTGTTCAAACATGTAGAAATTGAAAACTTCCAGCTGGTGCTAAGAGATGTGTCGACCTCTGTCACCAGTTCTACACTGCCCTGCTTCCCTACCGAAGTTCTTATTTAGGACCAAGCTCCAGGAAGGTTTACTTTGACATGTTTAACTCCTGCTCTTACCCTGACAAAGAATGGTGAGTCCTTACCGACATGCTTGTTGTTGACCTACTGTATTTATAGACTGAACACCCTGAATGTCTCTGTAGGACTGAGTGCCATCCAGTGAGAAGAGCCCTTCCAGTCAGTGGATTCATAGGCATGGTGGAGACATTCTCCAGCTACCAGCAGCTGAAACAGAAGGATCCTTCTGAAGCCGATAATCTCTCCAACAGAATCCTGACCAAGTGAGATATCACCGCTAACACCTTTCACCTCCCTTCTCATACTCTCCGCCTTGGCTTCATCCATCATTATCAAAAACTGCTGAGATGCGTCTGTGAATGCTGTCACAGTTCTGGCCTTTAATCAGAAAATCCAAGCATTGCTTGACTAAGCTCAACTGTCGAAGGTTTCCTCTGCTTCGGTAACACAACCGTCATTAATTCCCCCTGCCAGTGACGGGGAGGTTGGGGGGGGAGGGTGCGAACAGCTAAGCAAGCACAATGTATGTAGAAGTGCTGAGTCATGACTTTTACATGCATGGGGAAAGAAAAAAACTTGAGATTGTGTTTAATTACTGACAGCACATTAATATTTAAGTAAAGTTCTGGTTTCTGTCTCTGTTTTAATTCACCCATTGAGGTTGAAATTAAGATTTAAGTCTTTTTTTTTTTCTTTTTTTTTTTTTTCAGATTACTGACCGCCATGAATGTGTCCTCTCCTGACACTGAAGTGATGGTGATCGTGAACTATTTCGGCATGCTGGCGTGCAAACCTTCATCTGAATGAAACTTTGTACGCTTTGATTGAACGCCACACAGTGTGCGAACCCAATATATATATATATATATATATATATATATATATATATATATACACACACACTATGAATTCAGGAAATAAATATAATTTTCCTAAAATTTTATAGCACTACTAACAAAAATAATACTTAAGAATACTGAAACAAAAAACTATTTCTAGTTACAGAAGTAATAACCAAATTCACATTCAGACATAAAAAGCAAAAAAAGCTGCTAATCTTTAACAAGAGCAGCATACAGCAACTTAATCTCATATTTCACTGGAAGCTTTTTTTTATTATTATTATTGTGTTCCTTTTCAGTTTATTTTGTTGCACATAAACAAACTAGTTTTCATATACACATTCATGTCACATTCACTCATGGAATTTTGAGCCTTTCTGCTTGCTGTCCGTTTTCTTGTTCTTATGATTATTAAACAGTAACAGAGAAACACTTTCCTCCTGTTAATCTGCTACACACTCAGATGCTGCACCAAACACAATGTATATTTTACCATTGCCAAAGCACATCCAGTCTTAAGTTGTTTTTCTGTATATATACAAAGTTATTTCTTTGTATTTTTCTGTGTATTATACTACTTTGTGTTTTTTATTGATTTGTTGATAGATCTATGCATAAACACTAATTCAGACTTTGTTTTTAGATCAGAATTGACAGCTAATACCAGTTCACCATTGTCACTTGTGAAAGAGTGATGTTGAAGTCACTCTTACTCTCATCAGCCAACTGATGTGCCACCTTCGTGTTAACACCTTCTAAACAAGTAGCACTTATTTTCAGCTGTGAGAAGAAGACTGACTATTCTTAGATTTTTTTTTGTGGATTTTCAAGAACTTTTGGCTGCAACGAAAAGTCAAATTTGCTCGCAGATCTTCGTATAAATACTTTGGACAATTTTCAGAAATCTGCACATGGAGAATCTTTCATCACTTCCTTAAAGACAGCCGCAGATCAGAGGCTGATCCCAACATTTGCCTTGTAGCTATGACTGTAAATCGCAAAAACATTCAAAAGAACTTTGAGAATAATACAAATAAATAAAAGCCTAAACATTTTCTTCAAAGCTTAACTTGTTGTGCTTTTGCATTTCCTGCACCTCATTTCCTCTCAGTTGTTGATGCAGACGTAGTTTAAACTCAAGACTTGAATACGCTTTTGTAGAAGCGACACTATCTTGTCTTCACTACAGTTTACCGTTTCCTAAGATATCTTCTAAGATGTACATCCGCTTCTCAAAGTACATGAAGTTCACTGACTGTGGCTCATGATGCTATGAGTCCTTCTCCAAGTCCTGAGACCAACTCAAGCTCCTTCACCACCTCTACAGCATCCCTTCCGTGCGTTTGCTCCTCCACACCACGACTGTGGTCATGAGCAGGGTGATCAGCATTGACGCTCCGATGAAGGGCGTGAGGATGCCGATTGATGGCTCACTGAGGAGCCGGCCGGTCAGGGCGCAGTGGTGGAAGTACGTATTATGAATCTTCATGAAGAAGTTGTCGACCAGCTGGTTGGGCCAGAAGCAGTCCATCCTCAAGGCCACCTGGCAGGTGCAGTTAGTCAGTCCCTCATAGATCCTGCAAAAACCATGAGAGACACACACCAGTGAATATTTGCTTAAAGACTTTAGATGAAACACTTAAATTAACCCAACTTTCAAACGTCTGAGGGATGTTCAAGTCTCTCAAGTTAAAATCTAAAATGATAATGAGTCTGAATTTTACATTTGCAGTCTTTGGACTGAAATATTCTCTCCTGATGTCTTTGAACCTCCTCTCAGTGTGAAAGAGCAGCAGGAGATTCCTGACGGTAGTGGGAAAAAAGAGCTGAAGAGTTTCTAGAATTACCAGTGAGCTTAAGAGAGCTATATATAACTGCTTGGTTGGTGGAGGGCAAAAGAAATGGAGATGCATTCCAACTGAGGAGCGCACTCATTGGAGCACTTCGACATTCCAGAGAGAGATTCTTCTCTGGGTGAAGTGTGACTTGGTCTGAGGACGATCAAGGGGGGTAGAAATGAGGAAAAGCAAACTCTCAATCTGTGACAGAAACAAACATATGATTTAATTGCATAATCACAACTCTGGATGAGTAAGCAGAGAACTTATCAAGAACAAGATTAAGAAGCACGGAAGGATTAAAAGGATTTAATTCAATGAGAATTAACAGTATGAAAGTCTTGTCTTGAGGCAGGACATTCATAGCCCCTCTGTTCTGGAAGATGTTTTTCTAATTGTGTTTCTTTCCAGATCCTCTGGTGGAAGTTATTTTAAAAGCTTTCATGACCTTGTTTAACATGTCCATGGTAAAAGTTAGGTTGATACTCTGATGGGTCAAACCTGCATCGGATTGTGGTCATTGACTTTGGCATACAGATAAGGTCAAATGCTTACCCACTGTCATCCCTGGACATTTTCTCAGAAGTGCCGGGCCCACACTGGAAATGTCCAGCAGGCCTATCTTGACTACAACAGGACTAATTTAGGTTTGTCATAACAAAACCTAAAGGTTCAACTTTGACCAGGGGATTTTCAATCCCTCTGGCTTCTCCAGCTCCACCACAACACCATCAGTATCAAAAGATGGAGTCAGATAAGCAGAAGGTTGAGCCAAACATCATCAATCTCACCATAATGAAGCACTCAACTCTAGGAATGTGGTCATGTTGAGTATCTATGAACTCGGCTGAACCAGCTCAGTACAAAGAATCTATGTTGGTTGGGATCCTACCTATGTATGCAGAGCCCTTTGGATTTGATTGCTTTCCCTCAATAGTTCCTGTTATTATTTTAAAATCAGAGGTCTTCTAAAGATAGCTACTTGAGTTTTATTCACACCAGGAAAGTCCATTGGCCAGTTTTTTTGGTCCAGACAAAAAGCCGATTTTATTTATGTATTTTTGTTTGGTGTGGTTTGCGTTCAAATTGGGCTTTTCTGCAAGTGGACTATAATAAACAAAGCTAAATGGGTGACAATCATTTGAAAGAAATGACAGGTTTCCCAGTATCTCCACTTCGGCTTGAGAATCATCCAAATTATATTTAGTACACTGTATAATTAAGAAGTGGAAAACAGGTGTTAATTTAGTCATTACAAAGAAAACCCCACTTTTGATTTATTTAGAAAATCAACATGAAAAATATTTTTAATCTCTTTCTATTGGTTTTTATAATAGCATAAATGCATATTTCAAGTAGGGTAAATGTTACATTTGATCAATATTCAAAATAATAAAAAGTAGCATTTACCTTTAGACGGATAGTGTGGCACTCAGGTTTCAGTAGTTTATTCTTCTTATTAATCTTTCAGAGATAAATCTCAGCTGATTATTATACATCGGATTTTTCAAGTCTCATCTAATTTAGCTAATACTTATTTCTGCCAGTAGATGGCAGTAGTGTTTTAGCTGTGAGCTTGACTTACTGGCGTCCTCGGCATTTTACGGCAGCAGCGGTGAAGCCCTGTCGCACCCCCACCCCCTTTCCGCCCTTGTGTTCTTCAAATGCGCACAGGAATTGATACTTATTTTTAATTTCTTCTGCAGAAAGTCATTACTGGAAAACCTCGTATATAATTATGAAATTAACATCTTAATTTTTTTTGTGGAAGTGGAATAGAAACCAATTCGATTCTTATTTTCTTTAGAGATATCATGATTTTTTAAAAAAATATATATTTTCCTCTCAGACTTTAAAGTAATTTGTTTTCTTGCAGTTGTACTTTTTAGCAGCACAAATGCGGAAACACTGATCAGTCCCGCCATTTTGGATATCTAAGCTACAACACTAGGGGCGTACTGTCCCAATTCTCACATTTTTGCTGCTTCTAACCCTGCGCACTCGATCCCTTATGTGCACTTCGACTGAATCCACACTTCACAGAGGGGCGTAGGGTGCGCACTGAGCACTGGGACTAAGTTTAAAATTTAGGAGCTCAGTCAGAAATGTGTCTGTGTACTGTTGACTTTCTAAAGCTCTCCTTTGCATTACAGGTGAGACTAAGCACACAAACTGTGTATGATAAGTTTAGTGATGTTTGATGGTGCCATGTCTTATTTTGTAAATCTTTAACAAAGTGACTTTACCTCTTCTCTTTGTTAGCTAAGTTTGGTTAGCCTTGGAAGCTAAGTTGCTTCTTTTCACTGAGTCCTTTCTATGACAGGGATGTCACTCTCTGTTTTTGATTGTTGCAGTACATTGCTGTCTTTGCTCTCTGAAATTGTACTCTAAAGCAGCATTTTTGTTTAGAAACAATATATTTTCACATTTCTGCCTTTATTCCTGTTATTGTTATTTCTATGGGCATTTACCAACGGTAGCAGGAAGTTAGTGCTTTGAAGTTCAGCCAAAAATGACTGACCTAAAGCTTTGTTTTGTGTTACAGACAAAAATAAACACTTGAGACACCGGGATTAAAGTTGTCCTCATTCCATGTGTAACACTAACTTGTACAGGAAGTCTATCAAAAATAGATAATGAATGTTTACATTACAGAGTTTTTTTTTTGGGCTCATATCCATTTCCATTTTCTGCATTGCTGGGTTCTAATCACATGGTTTTTGCTCCATGATGTTAAATCTAACCTGGTGTCAGACATTGTAATTTGTAAATAGCACTTGCTTAAAAAATTGTGTTTTACATATAATCCAGCCTGGAATTAGCCACAGTGTGACTAGCTTTAAGCTTAACTTTTCAATGAAAATTGTACCAAGTTTGAAGACTACAAACCTCAGGTAAGATACTTCCTGCTGATAACTAATCTAGAGAACTCCACTTTTAAAAACTGTTAAAACTGGGGAAACAGAAATATGTTTTTATTTATCCATTCTGTGTATATTTTTTTTCTCCTGCATTTTTAACATATTTTTAACAAAAGTTTCAGCCAATCAGGTTTAATCTCGCATAAATAAAATAACACACATCAAATTTGTGTGAAAAAAATAGCCTACCTAATATGTCACATTATGAAATATTTTATGTTTAGTCTTATTAATAGTGACCTGTGGCACACGCAGCTCTTCGTTCTAACATCAGCTTGTTAGTTTGTTTTTCTTTTCTTTCATTCAGGGACATGAAGGGGAGATATTAGTTAAACCAGATATAGCCACTGGCTAAATCATATTTGTATTCCCTAAATCCTTTCATTTTGCTCTCTTCAGTGCTGCCATTGCGCATTCTTTCCAGCAGTTTTATTACACCAGTGCAAACCTTGAAAATGCCTGTACTTTTTTTTTTTTTTTGCAGCACAGAGAGCACCAGCAACCAATTATTTTGTGCTGGACCAGGCGAGGACAGGGAGCCAGGAGGGAAATCACATAGTTCTGACAGAAACTTCTTCAGAGCCTTTTTATCCTCCTGCCTGACTCATCCTCTGGCAACCGCTGGTGCTTGGAGAAGAAGGCCACTGTTTCACTTTCAAACACGCACTCCGCCACTGTGATGTCAGACTGATTTGCGAAAAACGGCTCTGGCTGAGCAACCGGTTGACTTTGAGCAAAAGATATTGTGTGAGAGAAAAAGGGAAAACTCAAAGCAGCAGACGGAAACCAAGAAGGAAAAGGCAGAAAAAGCGATGTAGAGATCTAACTATGAAACTAACAGTTAGCTAGACTATCAAATGTAGGAGAAAGTACTCCTGGTCAAGATCTATATGTTCTTCTGGGCAACTGACTAACCTATTCACTATTTAAACTCTATTTATGTATTTATATTTACCATAGAAACTGCTCCTTGTCCACTAATTCTTTGTCTCTTTTCTCTCTCTCATTAACAATTATTTCTCATAGCCTTTTTATGTTGATTTGCCACAGAAAGTGCTCCAGGCTCTGGGATTTGTTTTTAGCAAACAGAACCTTTAAATGATAGACTTAAAACTATGAAGACTGTTTTTGTTTACTATTGAAGTATTTTTTGTTCTGTTTTTCTTTGTTTTGTTGTTCTTGAGCTATTGATTAAGCTTTTCTGTCACTAATTTCATACACTCTCTATTCCCCTAATAGAAAGTACTACCAGCTGAGTTCTTCTATATTTATCTTTGTGCGTTTCCTGGATGGAAACATTGCCAACACTGACTTTGTGCACTTTTTAATTTTTTGTTCTTTCCACACAGAAAGTTCTTTTGAGCCATTGTGTTTGTGTTTACATAACTTTTTTTTTTCTGGTGAAAACATTAGAACTTTTCTTGCCATTAAACTATTTCCATAGATAGTTGTTTTTCTGCTAAGCTACATCTCAGAGGGGCGTAGTCAACAGAATTTGACTGTATTTAACATAACTGGATATTAATTCAACAGTTTGGGCCTTGAAATGAGTTTTTCATGAATGGAAAGTTGAAAGTTTTTGATTTCACTCACTCCATTGTTTCCGGCCAGCTGCACCACGTTCCTGAGTCCAGTCTGCCCATCTCCTCTTTGAAGTGGTTGAAGCAGAGGTCGTTGATCATCTTCTGGTAGAGCCGGCCGTCACATCCACACTCTGAAGGACCGACGTGAGCTGCAGAGAGGATCCAGTCATAAAGGTGCTTCTTTTTCTGTTACATGATTGGCAGAAAATAACCATTATTGTGAATATGAAAGAAATATGACACAAAGCACCGCAGTGGTTATCTGCTCCGTTTCATTTTTCCCCTCATAATTAGGAATATGTTTGTGCAACAAAACAAGGTCACTTCCTGGCTCCGCGTTTCCCTTCAGGACTGTTTCTTCCCTATTAATCTGCTACTTTCACGAAGAAAAGATTTTTAATTTGCAATCAGAGTCCCAATCCCATTTGTTTACCTCGGAGATGCGAGCAAACAGCTTCTTAATGTGGAGGCAGGCGGCGGCCGTCCCGTTGGACCTGAGGCTGAATGGAAAGACGGTGTGGAGGGAGCAGAGGGACGGCTTGTTGTTCTGATCGGAAAAGGCGGCGGATCTCAGGCTGCGGCGGCCCGATAAGGCCCAACTGTTTGGGCCCGGTGTTTGTTCCGACTCGGTGAGCTCTCTGAGGGAGCCGCAGCCTCACAGGGACAACCAGTGTGTTGAGTTTTCAAAAGGACAGCAGCTGAGAAGCAGCAGCTACAAGTCATTTCCTCGTTCTTCTGTAATTTTGTGGGGGGAAACAATTCCCTGAATCAAAACTAATAACTTCTCTCAACTGTTTAATCAGCAGGTGGTGCTTCCTATGTGCCATTAAGCATTAGCGGCAAGATATCCCAGCTATCAAAATAAATACACAAATGGATTTCCATACATAAGCAACAGGAATCAAATATTCAGTTTTTTTTTAATTAATAAATGCTCATGTATTGATGTCTAATGTTGAATTTCTCTGTAAAACCCCAAACAAACATCCTGTTTTTCTCATAAAACTAATTTCTAGTTTTCAGTGAGGTCTGCCCTGTTTGAACCTCTAAAGCTCAATCATTTGGGAAGATGTTTGGCGTAAACAACCAAATAACAGTTTCTAGCCTTTCACATGCTATACAGCACGGAGTGAGAGTGTCATGGTGCAGGCAGGAAAATGCAACAAAACAATAACCCCAAATATACCAGTTAAGTCACCAAAACTTTCTCAGAATGTCCTGAAAAATATGGAATATCTGATTGTTGCATTTTCTACTAATCTAAAATGAAACATAGTTCCATTTCCAAACTATCGCAGCATTTCATCTTACTTTGTTCTTCATCATGAAGTCCAACTTCTCCTCTACGTCCAGTAACTCAGCCGGCCAGAATAATTAAAGAAGACGCTCCTTTAGAGACTCACCTGTCAGCAGCAGCAGCAGCAGCAGCGGAAGAGCCATGCTTGGAAACAAACTTCACCTCCTCACTGGCTGCAGGTCAGAAACACAAACCTCATTCTGGACTATCCTCTCCAGCCAGAGCTGCTGGTTCTGGTCGGGCAGACCCCGGTTCCAGTGAGATTCCTGCCCACCCCCCACCGCCCCAATCACAGCCTGTCATCTGAGCCCCGAGTCCCACACAGTGGACAGAACAAAGTCAGGGTCCAAAATTAGAGCGGGGGCATTGTGAATGCTGGAGGTCATCAGGGCACAGACCAACCAGATTACTTTATATGGCAGCCAAAAATGTAATTAAGTTCAGCAAAGCTGAAATAGAAATATCTTTAAAAAGATTTATATGTACAATAGATGCTTATACTGAACTAATTCATAGATCCTTTAAATAGTAAAATCAAGAAATATACAAACACAAGCAGATATTAAAATGATTCATGTGAGTTTTTTTGCCTAATGAATAAAAATGTAAAAAAAAAGAAAAAAAGAAAAAAATACATTCATATTCTGAAATTACAAATATTGAGTCAAATGTACGTCCGAAACATTTTTATTCATAATTAAATAAAGACAGAGCTATCCCTTCCTGTTTCCGCTAGAGGGCAGCAGAGGACATTGAATAAAGCTCCTTCGTGTCACAGCGAGTCCATATCGACTCTTGTCCGTTAAGCCCTGGATGCTGAGCTGAGGACTCAGGTCAGGTTGGCTAGAAATTAACATCTGCTTACTTTGACTAAGCCTTCCTCTCATTACACCTTTTAACAGAATTGTTCTTATTCCTTCTTCTGATTACTTCTAACGTATTTATGAGTCAGTTCCAGTGTTTAAAAAGGCGCTAATAAACTGACTTATGCAGATAAGAATAACCAAAGCAAGAGCGGGAAACCAAAACAAAGCAGCTGTTGACAGGTGTAGTGACAGCCGCAATGACGCCTGTTAGCCAATCAGGAGGCGCGTTGGGCTCATTAGGAGATGGGTGTGTGATGTGATTGGCTGAGAGAGGTGTCGATTAGGCAGAAAAGGCGTGAGCAGAGCACCTACACCCCCTCCTCCCCCCTCCTATCCCAACACGCACCGCCCGCTGCTTCCTCACCCCCCATCCCTCCCTCCCCCCTCCAATCCAAGAACCGGCGCAATGGCAGAGTGAGGAGTAAATGGCTCAGAGTGTCCGCGGCGGAAAGCGACCTAAACACCGGACTGGGAGCCCACAAACAAACCCAGCAGAGCGGGAAGCCGTCACACCACCCGGGGACACTTTCATTCCGACACTTTCAGCCCGTTTTATTCCTCTTCTTTTTCTTTTGTGAGAAGCGCGTTAGAACAGCGAGGATATCTTAATTTGGACATGTGAGTTATACGGGAGTTAACAAGACAAGGAGGCTTTCTTCTTCTTCTTCTTCTTCCTCTTCTTCTTCTTCTCCTGGTTTTGGATCAAAGATGAAGTTCCAGGCGTGCGTTTTAGTCACTTTGGCGGTGATCCGCTGGAGTGCAGCGCAGTCAGGTGAGTGCTTGGATGCATGGATGGATGGATGGATGGTTGCGCGCCTGTGCGCATCGGTTCCTTCGGAACAATGAAGCGCAGCTCCTTGAAACTGAACACAAGTTCTCATGTGAGTCATCCCGATCCTCTCACACCTGCAGCGGAGCGTCGGACTCTGCGTAAAAGCCTCTCCATCTGCTCCAAAACATCCACTCGCATTCCACTAATCTGTTCTCTGAAATATGAACCTAATTTTTTGCGCAGTTTCTTAGTGAATACATGCCACCGCAGCTATTTGCGGGTGTTTTTGCATGATTTAAATGTCAGCTACTGTGCGAATCATTTAGAAACGGAGCGGTTAGGAGTCATCAGGACCCCTGAGGTTTGGGTCCTTCCTAATGTTCCTGCAGTGACGCTAAGAAGTCAACTGAGAAAACTTCCTGAGAGGGATTTTTGGTTGCACCGATTGTTTTCACAGTGCATTCGTTTCTAAAAGGCACCACTTTTTCTTCACACTGGAGAAAAGCTGCTTTTAATCAGCACAATTTGGAGCATGCTTACTTTCTATCCCAGGTCCGCAGGGATGGGATCAGTTCTAGGAGCAGCAGCCTTTAATTCCAGGTTTGAACTGGAAGAAAAGGTGAAAGAAACATCGTTAAAAGCGAACCATGCATACCTTCTACTGCAGGTCCAGAAGAGATGATTTTTGAACCATCACAGCCTCATATATGTCCAGCTTCGACTTGAATCAAGTGTAAACACTGACTGTTCAGTTGGATGGAAAACTAGATCAAATGTTTTTAAATGTGTACTTTCTATTCCAGGTCCAGATATTTAGCACACATTTGTCCAGTTTTGATGTATATCAGACAGATATTTAGATTCCAGTGGTTAATCCTAGCTGCAGACTGCTGGAATGAAGAAAAACAGCAAGAAATGTCTTTACTAGAACAGATAAGACCATGGATCCTTTCTACATATGTCCAGATGGAAGATTTTAGTTTACTATGAAAGTGATGTATGTTAGTCTTTGATTCCAGGTTGTTGCTAAGCTTAGACAATGGAAGTTGGACATGAATAAAATAAAAAGTTCAGAAAACAACCAAGTTTAAACACTGAACTTGCAACTTGTTAAAATCACAAAGTGAACAATGCGTACTTTCAAGCCCCTTTTGGGACAGGATCCTTTTACTCTGGTGCACAATACTACAGCAGAGCATCACGGGTCACTGAATCGATGTGTTACTCAGCTCTGACTGATTCCAGAAAGTGGACAAATTGAACGAGGTATACTTTCAAGCCCATGTAGGACAATACAGTGAAGGTCACAGTTTTGAGGCATTCCTTAGTTCAAACATAAATTTAAACTGATACAGAGAGTTTGATTTGAGATAGTGGAAAAAAAAAAACTAATAAGGCATACCTTCAAATCTAACAGCAGAAAGATGGGATAAGCATTTGTTAATGGATACTGAATGCAGTGTTTTAAAACTAAACAAACTGGGCCATGGATACTTTCTTGTTCAGGTCCAAATGGGATCAGTTTGTCCTGAAACTGGCTGTAAAAGTCACAAATTGAACAATGCAAGCTTTCCATCACAGGTCCAGCTGGATGAGGTCAGTTTGTCCTAACCCTGAACACGAACAGAACTATGTTTACTTTCTAGATTAAGTTCACATAGAACATTAGATCAATTTGGATTATTTAAAAAAATAGCAAACTTGTACTGTTGTTTACTCACAATTGAAATACACACACTTCTACCCCTGGTGAAATTTAAAGCCGAACATTTTGGATATTTTATGTAAACTAGTAAAAATGGGCAAAAAGACACAAGTTGAACCATGCATACTTTCTAGTCCACGTTTAGATGGGATTGTATTGTTGTATGATATAATAGTACAATGTTGTCGTTTGATGCCTTGTAACTGAACTGGAGAAAAAATGACAAACCAAACTGAACACATTTGATGATGCGTACTTTCTATCCCAGGTCCTCTTCATAGTGGGAGCTCCAGATGATGCCAACATGAACTCTCTCACTGTCTGAGTGCTGCTTTGGTGTGGATCTGGCATTGTTAGGAGCTGAATGCAGCCTATTAAAACGAGTGGATGGATGCTGGGATGTATGGGAGCAGGGCAGGGAAGAACGAGGGAAGAAAAGTGGCACCCTCTCCGCTTTATTTATTCTCCATGCGCACGCTGCCATCCGAGATATTTGTGATGCAAATTCGGCCCAAGAATCTGAGCTATGCCTCGTGGGAAGTTCACTGAATGCTTGTGTGTGTGTGTGTGTGTGTGTGTGTGTGTGGGCGTTTGTCGACGTTTGCTTCTCTCTTTCATTTACTCTCCTTCTCATCACCCTTGCTGCTTTAGAAAGAATCCCACCCAGCTCCGTATATTTGTGTTTACCTACATGACAGTCCAAGTGAAGCCAAGGTTAGAGCCGTTTCTTTCTTCCCGTGATTGAAGCTGTCTGTTCGCTCCTGCAGCGAGACAAATGTCTGTAGCGTTCCTGCCAGTCAGCTCCACCAGGCTGTGTGTACACTAAACCGGGCGTGATGTGGCGTACGAACACACATGTGCATCGCAAGCTGCTTGATTTATAGTTTCTGCTGGATTCTGGCCGACTGCTGGCTCCTGTTAATCTCAATTTAATCCAAAATGAAGATAAAATCGCCCAGTCTCTTCTCCGTTGGGTACCAGTCGACTTTTCTCAGCCAAACTTTCTCGATAAGTTTCTAAAATGAGGTGTTTTAATCCAGAATTTGCTGTTCTACATGAGTTGGATTCTCGTTTACAGCAGTTGTTTAAATATGCCTGCAGTATATGGACACTATTCTTTCATGTTTGTTGAGTTTCACATGTGGGTACTCGTTTCAAAGACGTCTTAGAGCAAACAGTCTGAACAGATGACGCCTCTGCCATTCCTCAGTATTCATGTACTCTAAAATTCAGGCTTAGATTTTAAAGAGCTGAGATGAACATCTTTAGATAAAAATCAGTGATCAAGCTTGAAATCCTGTATCAGAATGACTGAAATAGTCATTTTAGATTTACAGCACTTTACCCAGTTTAGCTCTTAGTCTCTGGCATCAGTCTGGGAAAGGTTTGACTCACTCCCCACTTTATGTGTGATGTTTGAGGAGTTTCCTACAGGTACATGCTGTTTCAAATGGAACACGTGTCAAACTTGAGGCCCGGGGGCCAAGTCTGGCCCGCCGTAGCTTTTTATTTGGCCCTCTAAGACTCCAAATTACATCAACAATTCCCTCCAGTTTTTCACAAATTGGCAAGATTCACACAAAATCAACAGATCCCCACATTTGTTTCTGACCTTACTAAAAAATGTTCTCAAAATTGGCCAAAAACATTAGGTTCAAGTGACTGCTGCCGCAGCAGTGAAGTTGTAGTTTCTGATCGATACAGCAATTTAAAAAAAAAAAAAAAAAAAAAAAAAGAAAGTCACATTTAGTATGATAGATTAGCGCAACTATCGTAAAAATTCCTTTCAAATATTACTAAATTAGTGCCACAAAATCTGTGATTTTGATTGCAAAAACCACAAAAACAATCACAAAATCCTGGATGAACTGATCAGTGTGAAAAGATGTTTGGTATTATTTCATTTTCACAAACGCTAATTGAATGCTGAAACAAACAGCTATTGATATTTTAACAGTTCAGTGGGATTTATCTATAGATTCTCCCCTTTAAGAACATTCAGATTTTTGCTATGGCCTAAAATGAAAATGAGTT